CCGAACGCGAATCATATGAACATGATGAAAACTAGCTTGACGATAATTCCCATGTGTCATTGGGAGCGCTTTTCTCTATATAAGAAATTATCCAAGCTTGTCCTTTGCTACAAAAAGGATTGGGCCATCTTGCTGCACTTTATTTACACTTGTTACTTGTTACTCGTTACCAATTACCTTATCACAAAACTATCTGTTACCGATAATTTCAGTGCTTGCAGAGAATACCTTGCTGAAAACCGCTTATCATTTCCTTCTGCTCCTCGTTGGGTTCGACACTCTTACTTATTGAAAGGACTACGGTAGATCCCCTATACTTGTGAGTCATCAGGCATCCTCACGGCAGCAGCCCAGAGTGCAGACAAGGGAGGGCGGCAGGACCCGGAACACCACAGAGTTCATGTGTTTCCACAGCTGCCAGCAGCACAGGAGAATAAAGATGTCAGGCGAGGTGGCCCCAACCGCGGGACTGACGTCTAGGGCATGCAGGGGTATCCACTCTGGGCGCCCCGCCTCGATGTTGACACCCACCCTTTGCCACAATGAGTGGGCGAACGGACAGGCAAAGACCAGATGGTCAGCCGTCTCCATTGTCGTCGCGCGAACTGGGCATCCAGCTTCATCCACCTCGACAATGGTCTTCCTTAGCAGGACATCTCACGTGTGGATGCGACGCTACACCAGGAGCCATCTGAAGAACCGGACCCGCGAGGGCGCACGCGCGCCCCAGATGAACTCCGCGTGGGGAGCCCGAACCCCGCCCAGGCGCGACAGGGCGTAGGCCGAGCCGGTGACAAGGCGCCCATGCCCATCAGAGCATAGAGGCAAGCGTCGCTCGTCTGCTCCATCGAGCGCCGGATCAGCGTTGACGAGGTCGAGGAGCGCGATGCGCTCGGCGGCGCCGGCACTGATGAGCCGAGGGACCATCACCCGATCAAGGCCAGTCGCCCTCACACGGTACACGGTGACCTCCGAGTCCGTCGTGTGGAAGAAGAGGGCGGGGAAGGCCGTGGCCACGACCCCACAGGAGAGCCAGCAGTCGAACCAGAATGATGTCCTCCTCCCGTACCGCACGTCAACCCGGGAGAGGTCTCGGTACAGCGGGAGCAGAGCGCTCAATGCCTTCCCGTGTTCCCCCCGTCCCGACTCGCCCTAGGGGAGAGGAGGGAGAGGCCGTCAAGCTCTGTCCAGACCCAGGCAGCCCAACGCGAGGTCGTGGAGCACACATGAAGCCGATGTAGCATCTTCAGGAGCAAGCACTCATTTTGAGTGGCCAAGTCTTGAACCCCCGGGCCTCCTTCATCCTTGGCTCGACAGACCCGCTCCCAAGCAATGAGGCATCGAGCCTCGGACGCACGCTCGGCAGCGTTCCAGAGGAAGGCACGCCAGAGGGCGTCTAAGGCCTTGATGACAACGGTAGGCAGCCGCATGGCCGCCATGGCATAGGTAGGAAATGCGTCCAACACCGCGTTGATCAGCACAAGGCGCCCCGCCGGGGAGAGAAGACGGGAACGCCACCCGGCCAGGTACTTGTCGACCTTGGCAATCATGGGAAGGAAGTCGGCCAGGGTGAGCTTTTCCCACGACAGAGGCAGCCCCAGATAGGATCTGGGGAAGCCATGGACTGAGCAGCCGAGGGCGCCCACCGATTCTTCAAGCATCTCCTCCGGGACATGCATGGGGACGAGAGCGCTTTTGTCGAAGTTGATGTCCAGCCCCGTCGCCGCAGCGAAGAATCAAAAAACTTAACATATGCGCCTAATGGATAGGCGGTCTAGGAGAGGCCTTGACACGCCAAACCAGTTGCAATCCTACAAGTTGAAACACCTAAATGGGCTGGCTCTATAACATGCATCTATATAGGTCATACCACTAGGCAAACCCATGACAGATACGCCAAATGAATGGTCATGTTACCTTTAGACTAAAGACGCCTATTAACAAGGCGTTTCTAAATCAATTCATCCATTGTGAAACGATAACTCCGTCGGCCATATAAAAAGCCAGGGGTTCTGGCTAGTACTCCGGTCCTTTTTAGTTCGCATATAAAATTTGACTGAAGTCAAGCCTTGTAAATTTTGACCAACTTTATAGAAAAAAGTGCCAACATTCACAATCTGAAATCAATACCATTAGATGTGTCATGACTTAAAGTTTCATATTATATAATTTTAGCGTGGCAGATGTTGATATTTTTTTATATAAATATGGTCAAACTTTATGAAGTTTGACTTCGGAGAATTCTAATATGCAGAGTAAAAAGGACCGGAGGGAATACACGACATGGAGGTGCCATATTGGTTGCATAACGGACGACCGTGGATCGTGGCCAGTCAAAGACGCCTTGGGGTACGGCTGCTTCATGTGTGAGTTAGGCGCATTGCCGTTAGGAGTGAAAGAAGGGGGACAGACGTCGAAATAAGTTTTTTAAAGGGAGTGGACAAATTACGTTTCTTAGGGCAACTAAAACACAACGGCGCATTTTCGTTAGCGCGTGTTTGTTTGGGTCCGTCCGGACAAAAAACACAGCCCAACGCAGAGACCTATTTCCATTTTGTGTCCGCTCGAACCCCATTTCAGCCCCAAATTTAGGCCAGATTTGCATTGAGCGAACATGAAGCGAACGTTTCTGTGACTTTCTCGTTGGAAGTGCCGGGAGGAGCGGAAGCCGCAGCAGCGCCGCCAAGGGTAGCAGTGCGACCGAGTGTGTGCCCGATGGTGCAGCAGCGGGTGCACGCCGAGGATCCGCCGCCGCGCTATCGCTGCTCGAGGCCGCACGAGGAGCCGGAGCTCCTGCCCAAAGACGGGGCGCACCTGGACGAGCACGATGTGCGGCGAGGAGGACATGCCAGCAAGCTTTGCAAAGTGCACCCGTTAGGTAGGTGTTGGATGAAATGTCGAGGCGGACATCCCATCAAGTGGGGCAGCACCATTGGATACATCGACCATGTTCGCTATCCGCCCCGTGTCCGCTGTCTATGTTGAGAATCCAAACTGACGAAAAGTGGACGTCCGTTTGGGTCACCGTGTTGGAGTATAGGTGGCCAAACGGGCCAGGATAGCTGGGCCGGCCCGGTAGCACGGCCGGCACGACACGTGCTAAACGGGCCAGGCGCGGCACACGATACGCCAGAGGCCGTGCCTGGGCCTGAAGGCCGAGCACGCGGGCCGGCATGGCACGGCCCAATTATCTTTATATTTTATTTTTTATGCATCCTAATGTGACCCAACAGGTAAAAATAGGCTAAAAAACACCCAGTGCGCAAAATAGGAAGCAGATTAGCGGGCCTAGCGTGCCGGTGGGCCGACCCGATTAGCATATGGGCCGTGCCTGGGCTGCAGGCTGCAGCACACGGGCCGGCACGGCACGGCCCGTATAATAACCGTACCTCGGCGGGCCGGACCGGGCCCGGCACGATTAAGATGGGCCGGGCCGGGCCGGCCCGATTGGCCAGCTATATGTTGGAGTTGCCCTTGAAGGGTCATTTAGTAAATTTGACGCTGAGAGAGTAGAGCGGGGTACATCCAGCAGAGCAGAGCAGATCCAGCCAGCTGCGAGGAGATGTACTGGCACTTGACTGGAGGCAGTAGAGTAGAGTACAGTAGCGCAGTAGAGAAGTAAAGAGTACGCTCTCCCCCTCCCTCCCTCGCTGAGCCAGTGGCAGAGATCCCAGGCAGGCAAGCAAGGCAGCAGAGGGGATCCGGCAATGGCGGGCGGGGGGCGCAGCGGTCGCGGGGAGGAGGAGTACGACTACCTGTTCAAGGTGGTGCTGATCGGCGACTCGGGCGTGGGGAAGTCCAACCTGCTCTCCCGCTTCACCCGCAACGAGTTCTGCCTCGAGTCCAAGTCCACCATCGGCGTCGAGTTCGCCACCCGCACCCTCCACGTGAGCTCCCACCCCCGTCCCAGTAATCGATTTCATTCCTTGCTTTGCTTGCCGCTAGTAGATCCGATGGATCAGTCGGACCCGCGACTTGTTTCCTTCCTCCCTGCGCCCCAGATCCAGATCGTTGCTGCCATGCGCAGGAGCTGCTAGTAAATCCATCGCTGCGGGCACAGATTCAGAGCCGAGATGCCTGAGGATTTCCACTGTGCCATGGCAGCCAGATCTACCATATCACCTTGTTTCACTTTACTGCTACTAGTTTCCACGCCATAGCTCCTGCCTGCTTCCTTGCTTGCTACAGTGCTCAGCCTCACAGAAACTAACCACTGTAGCTAGGATTTCCTTTAATTCCAAAGTTTCAGTTTCACAGTAATTAACTACTGCAGCTAGCGCTTTAGAGAGCTCTGTACTTTCGTATCTTAAAACATACTAGAAGGGGGAAAGGCGTCCATGTTGGAAGGCTAACATTGCAAAGGGGAAAATGACAGGTATGTAGCCCTCCCTCCGTAAACGAATATAAGAACGTTTGGATTACTATTTTAGTGATCTAAACGCTCTTATATTAGTTTACAGAGGAGAGGAAGTATGTAGTAAAGCTCTGTCTTTCCTGCTGAGATCCTAATAACCCGGCCGTGTTCGGGTTGCTTGCTTCGGGCGGAAATCAGCCGTGCGACATGTAGTATGATCGATCGTGTCGTGCCTATCCTTGTGCTTGCTGGGTTGGATTTGGATGGTGACTAGACGCCAGCTGCGCGCTCGCTCGTCTGATCGGAACCTGCAGCACCATTGATTAGTGTTAACTCTAGTACTATAATCAACTTCAACTTCAACTTCAGGAGTGTCACACTCGGTTCAGTAGCTGGCAGACCAAGTGGCGCTGTCAACTTGTCTTTCTGCCCCTTGTTTAGCCCACACCTATCATGTAAGTATGTAGCAACAGGCTGATAGACAGAGGTGTACCATGATCATGACAAAATCTGCTGTTATCTTATTCCAAGCTGCACATTTCCTCTGAAACTTGGCAAGATCATGACAAAATTGCATCGTAATGATGTAGAGGCCGGGGATGGTCCTCCTTTTCGAAGAAAAAAAAACATTTTCTCTGAAACTGACATGTTCTTATATGGACTTTGTTTGCAGGTGGAGGAGAAGATAATCAAGGCGCAGATCTGGGACACGGCGGGGCAGGAGCGCTACCGGGCCATCACGAGCGCCTACTACCGGGGCGCGCTCGGGGCGGTGCTCGTCTACGACGTCACCAAGCCCACCACCTTCGAGAACATCAGCCGGTGGCTCAAGGAGCTGCGCGACCACGCCGACGCAAACATCCGGATCATGCTCGTCGGCAACAAGACCGACCTCAAGGACCTCCGGGCTGTCCCCGCCGACGACGCGGGCGGCTATGCCGAGGCCGAGGGGCTCTCCTACATCGAGACGTCCGCGCTCGAGGCCATGAACGTCGAGGAGGCCTTCCAGCTCATCCTCGGCGACATCTACCGCACCGTCAGCAAGAAGGCCGTGGCCTCCGAGGAGGACAGGGCAGGGGCTGCTGGGGTCAAGGAAGGTAAGACCATCAATGTCGCCGCCCCCGTCGACAACGGCGGCGAGAAGAAGCAATGCTGCTCAGCTTAGGATGGACGGACGGTGCCCAGCGGATGTATGTTATGTGATGGTTGTTTTTTGAGTTTTACAAGCCTTGTTGATTCATTTTGTCAGATATCCTCCTACCTTGTTAGACCTGAAACTCACATATATTCAGTTACTATATGATATATCAAGTTCATTGGTTTACATGTCAGCAAAAGAAAAGGCCCATTGGTTTACATGTCCATTTTTGAGTTACATCAGTCAGCTGTCAAGCTTCTAGAAAAGTGCCAAAAAGAAAAACTCCACCGAATCAACAAAAAGAACATGACAGGATAATTGTCAAAGTTGAGGCCATATTTTTCATATAATTTCTGTTACTACCTAAAGTTTAGTATGAACTGCAAAAAATGTCTTATATTTTGGTATAGAGGTTGTACTTTTTAAAATATAAAGAGTACTACTTGCCAGTTTGAGTTTGTTATGTAATCTCGCTAGACATTACTTCATCAGTGTATTCAGTGTCTCTAGCCCTTGGTGGATCTTCCAGCCTCCCGGCACTCAACCAGATATCACACACATCTCGATGAACACGTCGACCCCTTTTCGTTCCCCCTAGCCCCTAGGCGTCGTTGGCCGTGCGTGCTATGATCAGTGTGGTCGTGAGCCGAATGATCCCCATTGAAATCGTCATTGTTGACCATCTTTCACCCACCGGTTCTTCTCGGCCAAAAAAAAAAAGGGTTCTAACTACCTGTAGAAACCGACTAGTGGCTTTGGATTCCAAATCCGATGAGCATATTTATATAACAAAATTTGTACTCGAAGTGAAAGACTTCTCTAGCATTCAAATTAAAAAAACGTTCGGGAATTACAAAAATTGTTACCAAATTTCATAAAATGTTTGCCGATTGAAAAATTATTTTTTAATTTAAAAAAATGCTCATGATATCAGAAAATGTCCGTTAATTCAAAAATCATTCATGATTTTGAAAAATATTTTAATTTTACCAAATGTTCCCGGATTTAAAAAATGCCCATGAATTTGAAAATGAAAAAGGGAAGACAAAAAATGAAAAAGAAAAGAAAAGGGAAAATAAAAAAGTAGAAAAAAGCCACAAAAAACGGTTTGGGAGAGTTTCAGACCCTTTGCGAAATCAGGAAGGAGAGCTAGTTGGGCCAGCTGAAGTTGTCACGAGCGTGTTGCACATGAGGGGTTGCGATTGATCTGAGGTAGTAGTCGCGGGACATCCATGGGCACAACCTGTAGTCGCATCGACCTATCGCTTGGAACCGGGAAGAAGAGCGTGTTTGGCTAGAGGGAATCAGGGCCTGATTGGATTGTCGTTTTCCACACTTTTATGCCTGTAAAAGATACAGACCTCGACGGTCGTTTTCATTTCCGGTTGGAAATCACACACGGATGGTGAAATACACTTGTAAAAGTAATAAAGGTGTATAGATTTACCCCTATTCCAAGCGGGGCCTTAGCGATTTGGAATGGGAGTTTATAGGGTATGAGCGTATAATCCACAGTTTGGTTTTATTTGAGACATATCCACAGTTTGGTTAGTTCAGGTTTTTTTTTTTTTGAGGGAAGTTTGGTTAGTTCAGGTGGGATGAAGGTTCTTCTCAAAAAAAAAGCCCCACCGACAATGGCTTACTCGTCCCGGCCCATCTCAGCCGGCCCGTCAATGTCCCCGACCTCGCTGGCTTACCCGCTGCCTGCCTGGCCGGGCGCCGTCGCCCAGGAGCCGCCCCTCCCGCCCGGCGCCCCTGCAAGACGACTCTGGCACTCGGCCGGCAGGAAGCCTTTAGCCCGATCTGACGACTCGAGGTAAGTTGTCCATTGCGGCAGCGCCCATTAATTCCCCAATTTCTCAAAAATGTAGCATCTGATCTTCTGTGGGATCGTTAGCAGCCGCTTGATCGATTTCTGAAAAAATGTAGGGCCTCTCATCTTTAAATTCCGGTTCCTCAAGTCCTGAAAGGATCCCATTTTCCGCAGGATCAGCAGCAGCCACTTGTTGCAGGCGTTCCACCTTCAGTAGGGGACAGCCGCTGCTGGTGAAGAGCGTCGACTCCGGTGCCGGCACCACCGCCAACTCCAGCTGCATCAGGTTGGCGAGCTTCAGCTTCCTGAGGCTCTGGAACCCCTCCGCGGGGGACACCAAATGCGCCTCGCTGTAGGAGCCACCCAGGAGCTCCATCTCGGCGAGGTTTGGCAGCGTGGCCACCTTGTCGATGAAATCCTGCTTCAGAGATGATTCGGAAATGCTGAGCATGCCAAGGTTGGGCAAGAAGAACGGGCCGTGCATTGAGTCACCGGCGTCGAGCCTTCCGTGGAGCGCCAGGACCTCGAGGCGGCGCGAGCTGGGGTTTGTGAACACGCTTGATGGGAGGAGACGCCCAGCCAAGTTGAGACTCATGAGAAATTCCATCTTCTGGAGCGCCTGGGATAGCGCGGGGAGATATTCTTCAGAGATGAGAGTCATGGCAAGTGCCCGCAGATAAATCATGGAGCTCAAGGGGCAGCTCGGACCCCATGCGCCGATGAGTGTCTGCAAGTGTTTCAGGTGTGCACTTGGACACTTGGGCAGTCGTAGCCCGTCGGCGAGCACGTGCCGCAGCCCTTGAATTTCCCAGAACTCATCGGCGACGTCTTGCACCCGTGTGGCCCGCACGTCCAGGGTCTGGAGGTTGTCTAGCTTAGAAATAGCTTGCAGTTTCTGATGCCAAGGTACCTCAGGTGGATGATGCTTCCAACCTCGTCAGGGACCCTTGCAAGCAGCAGGCCATATAAGTCAATGACTCGGAGGAACCGAGAGCCTCGAATGAAACTGAGGTCATGCAGTTTGGTCGAGCCAGCAGCTGGGCCATCAGAGTTGCCACAAGCTCGTAGAAACCACTCTGCAGGATGCCACTCTCCTTGTTGTCCTTGGTGCACCGAGCTGCCGCCGCCGTTAGTGTCACCACCTTGTTGCTGGTCCTCCAAGAAATCACAGAAGAGTGGAAGTGGTTGGGGATGTCAACGTAGGAGTCGACATAATTGTGGAGGGCGAGGCGGCACACGGAATGCGGCTTGAGGACATTGGCATGGTGGTGCATCTCAAAGAATCCAGACTCCTGAGACTCAGCCTCTGCAAAGGCATGAAGCAGACTGTGCACTGATACAAACTTGATGCCTCCTCTGGCGTCCTTCACGGCCTGGACCAGACCTCTCGAGATGAGCTCCTTGAGGCAGCCCAGCCCAACTTCTTCCTTCTTTGGCGCAACGAACCCCTCGGCAATCCACAGACGCACTAGGCGGTCCGGGTCGAGGAGAATGTTGTCCGATGCCATTGCAAAGTAGATGAAGCATGACTTGAGGTGGTGTGGCAGGTCTTCCAAGGCCAGTGTCCATAGGCATCTGATTGGCTGGCCCTTGGACTCCTCCAGTTGCTCGAGCACTTCGTTCCATTCATGACCGAAATTCTTGGTCCGAAGGAGGCCGCTGAGCACAACAATCGCTAATGGGAGGCCTGCCGATATCTTGAGACTCCTTTCGGATAAATCACTCATCACGCGGGGGCGAACACCATTTGCTCCGAAACCAAAAGCTCGTCGATAGAACAGCTTCAGAATGTCCTTGGTGCTGCCAAGAGGTTGCAGAACAATAGGTGCGGTTTGCTTGACGCTGGGTTTAATTTCCTTCACTTTGAGCTGTGTGGTGAGAAGGATTCGGCTTCTGGGGTTGTCATCTGGCAGCAAGCTGACTAAAGAGTTCCAGTCACTGATGTCCACCAGGCCATCGAGCACCACCAAGTAGTTGTGCTCATGTTTTCTCAGAAGCTGCTGAAGCTTACCACTGGCGTCTCCATCCCCATGTTGCAGGTCTCCGGGGACCTGCTTGCGGACCTGCTCGTACATCATCTCGAGGTACTTCTCGAACCGGATGCGCGGCGGAAGGCTTATCCAGGCACGCACCTTGAAGTGTTCCCTCACTCCACGGTCATTGTACAACTTCCTGGCCAGTGTCGTCTTCCCGATGCCGCTTGGGCCAACGATGGAGATGACAGCTCGACGTTTTATCTTGCTCTGCTCCTCCAGGATGTGTTTTTTTAGGGCTGCAAATTCTTCCCCCCTCAACTCGATGGCATTGTCAGCCTCAATATCCCTGCATTTACCCAAGCAATCGATGTTAATTATATGGTCTCCCCCCCATTCCCTTATTTGTAGGATAAACTAGCTGAATTGAACGGCAATTTGCATGGCTAGATGCTAAAATACATACTTTTATTTTGAAAAGACTTGTATATTTAGTATACACTTCTAATGTCTGTGCCAATGTGGTTATATTTTTTTATACAAATCTTATAGCTGTCATTTATATCCAATTAATCTCCACCGTTATAACGTGCCCCATCAAAATTAGCGGTTATCTTACTATTTGTCTCAACTGATGAGAGAATTTCTAGGATATCTTTTCTTTTTTAGGTTATAGTGGAAAGCATTCTATATATGGTGCTTTTAATTTCAACAGCTATTTGTATTTATACACATATGAATGGTCAAAACAATTGTATGTAAAGTGCGTAAAATTAAAATTCTTAGTCATTCGTTGTAAAATCATGCAAGGCTTCAAGATTTATCTCATGTTTTGGTGAATTGAACTTAATAATTCCTTTGTCGCATAAATGTAAGACGTGGTTTGGCCTGGCATAGTCTCCAAAATTTAGCTTTAACCGCAATTTATTGTTACTTCCTCCGATTCAAATTAAGTGTCATCATTTGAACTAAAATCAGGATGACACTTAATTTAAATCGGATGGAGGAGTAGTGTGTATGAAAGTATATATGTTCATACAGACATAGTTTCAAATACTAAAGTCTGGCTGACAAGTGGGACCCATGCCCATCGCATATTGTACACATAAGCATGCCATGCAAGTCTGACTGGTGGGCACAACCGGTTAATTTAGCTGTGAGATGCAGCTTATTTTTGAATCTGTATGGTTTATTACTCACTGGCCCCAGGAGTAGTGCTTTTCTGTCTTTTTTTGCCAAAA